CCACATGCAGGGAAGACAGACTGCCTGATGCCATTTCACCCAATGCACTACGCTACTGAAAGGCAGTCTGAGACCATGGCAATAAGGGCCAGACAGGAACCAGCTGGCGGGAGGTTGGAAAATAACCCCTTTGCTAATAAATATTATCAGCAAGAAATCAGTTCCCTGCTGCAGATGGAAACTAAATGGCATACAACAGACAGAAGATGACGTTTTACTCACAAACCTGGGACTGAGCTGATGGTTAAAACCCGGGCAGGAGAAGGACTCTTCCTCCGGACACACAGACTCCTGCACCCAATTAACACTGCTCACAGGTGGAAACCCTCTGCAAGCAGGTAGTTACTCCTAGGAGTAAAGTTAGGCCTTTATATATTATTATCCATGGGGTCGGGTCTGGAGATTTACCCTCCTTCCCGCCCAGCACTCCCTGTGTTAATGCAGTTCTTCAGGCAGGCAAACCACCCAGCCCTCCGTCTCTCCTTTATGTCTTCTCTTGCATTTTATTTGACTCCAAAATGAAACGGGGGGAGAGGGTGGCAGGTTAGAGGAAAGCCTTCAGAGGATTCCTCCCTCCCCAGATTAGGATTTAATTGTATTCCTAGTGAGTCCCTTCTGGTTGTGCTCGGTCTTTCAGATGAATGTTTCATCAATATGATTAGGATCACATTCCTCAGTCTCATCTATTTACACAATCGGTTGTGACAGCTCAGAGTATAGTGGTCCCTAAAGGAAATATTAGATACCACCCTATCATTTTATTCAAATCATATTTTGCACTCCACACTTTCTGCCTAATGTCATTCTCTCCTGGATTACATATCTGTGATATGCAGCAAGCACTAAAACCCTTCCAATAAGGATTAGATTAATATTAGCCATACTCATACTATTATGAACAGGGCTATGGAGATTTTGGAAACGGAGGAGGGGGCTACAGATACTTCAAGGGCGTGGGGAATGGGCTTGTGTGTCCAAAAAAAAAAAAATGTGGGACAAACAGTGAAAAATTATTAGTAACAGCAATAATAGCATCGATGGCTGCAAGACTCAATTTCATGGGCGCGATGGAAGCACCGGCGGGCCCCATCTCCTTCGCCTCAACGCCCCTGGGCGCCATTTTCTTCCCACGGCCGGGGCCCCAA